CTCCTCCCCTACCGCCCCCCCATATCCTATCCTGCCCTTCCACGTGCCCCCCTTCTACCACACCCTGGGGCCCCCCAGGTCCTTTGCCCCCCCCAGGCCTCCAGACCTCACCCATCCCCCTAGCCGGGGCAGACAAACAGGGAGGCCACATTGCCCAGTGGGGACCCCTAGCTCAGGGGGAGTGACTGGGGGCCGATGGGCCTCCTAGCAGCAGAAGGGGGAGGCGAAAAGGCAGATCCCCAGCCCCCCACGAGCCCAGCCCCTTGGCCATGGCCCTGCCCCTTTGCTGCTTCCCCCCTCCTGCCCCACGCCCCTCCCCTTCCTGTCCCCGCTGCGGGCACCGCTGCCACCCCTGCCCGGCCCCCTCTCCCGCCCAGGAGCAGCCCCAAGGCAGGACAGGGGGACCCCAACCCAGGCAGGAGTGTGGCAGGGCCAGGAGGGATTCCTCTGCCATCTGTGTGTCTGCCCTGACCGTGGCCAGTGCCAGGTGCCCCAGAGGGACTGAACACAACAGGGAATCGTCATGTGAATGTCGCCCACTCCCAGTTTCTGACAAACGGCTGGGGACACCCTCCCTGCCCAGCCTGGCTAATAGCCCTTGAGGGAACTAACCTCCATGAATGTATCTAGCTCTTTTTTTGAACCCTCTTGGTCTTCACAATATCCTGTGGCAAGGAGTTCCACAGGTTGGCTCTGCAGAGCACATGTGTTTTTGTGCAAACCAAGCCTGACTGCATACAAAGTCTGTCTGTGGGAGGGGGGGAAGTTGCCCCTCTCAGAGTCAGCCCCCCTCAATCTGGCTCCCCTAGCATCCGCTGCCCCCCACACGCCAGCCCCCATCCCGATTCCTTCCTCCTCTCCCCACTCTGGGCTTTCCACTTACATCCCTCTGGTTGCACACCATCCTTCTCCATTCATGCTTTGTTTCCTCTGTTCTTTCTTTTCTCCACCCCTGCCCACCCCATGGCAGCAGCACAAGTCCCGCGCGCCCCCCCCCCCCCCCCCCTCGCTGCCCCCCAACGCCCCCCAGCCCGCA